ACTCGGCCGGATATCTATGATGTTCGAATGCATCGTATAGAGGATCATTTAGGTATCATTCCTCTGCCTCGTACTACTCCTAGAGCTAGTGGTAATGATCAAGGATCCGCTGGGGCTAGCAGAGGAGACGCCGAGCCTGCTTCTTGAGCTACCCTTTTTGTCATTGCTTCTATAATCTTTCATTGTTTTTTTCTTTTCCTATATAGGGCGACATTAATTTTCTCTTTTCCCTTTGATGCTTTGGCAGTGCTAGTAGATGCCTATGTATTTTGTGAAGGTTCGTGAGTCATGGTTGATCAAGATTTCAGCCATCACCATGGGGAGTAATTCTTTCTAATTTTTTTTGTGTGTATTTCCCTACACATTAAGGACAATGTGTATTTTAAGTGTGGGGGAGAAAAACTTATATTATGTGTGGTATTTGTTCTTGTATTGTTTGGACTTGAGGTTGGAATATGAATTACACTTGAAATTCTTCAATCTTGAGTTTTGTTGGCGGGGAGTTTCGTCCATTTATAAGAGAAAACTCTGCTAAATTGTTTTTCAAAGTCTTGTCCAAAATTACCCCAAAATGTTTCTAATTTTTTCAATTTTATCTAAGGGCAACAAGTTCCATACCTTTAATAATTCAAATTTTCTTACTTTTGAGATAAATATATGTAACTTGAAAACTTCATTTCTCATTTAACTTGAAAATAGTTATTATATGATTAGGATTTTTACCTTTGTAGGAAAGTATATCGTATAAAGTAGAGAAAATTATGTCTAAATTTTGCATGTTTGATGAAGTTTCTTCTTTTTACTTAATTTTACATAGTTAAGTAATAAATATGGTCATTAATTACAATACACTTCTCATGATTATTCTTTTGAGGGATGATTATTATCTTTACTTTGAAAAAAAGAAGAAAGAAAAAAGGAAAAAAGTAGAAAAAAAGAAAAATAAAAAATAAAAAATAAAAAAAGAAGAGAGAGAATAAATGTTATTCTACTAAAATGATTCTTGTACTTAGTAATCGAGTGTTTTCATCTATAAATATCAACTTTCGCTTAAAACAGTATTTGAATTAATAGTATGCAAGACAATTTGAGGATGTGAAGTGTTCAATAATCAGCGATTTTCATCTAAACATGTCAATCTTCCCATCAAAAGGCACTTTCACAATTCGAGTAAATATTTAGATATAATGTATGAATAAATTTCTCTTTAAATTAGAAAAGAAGATGATCATGTGTTTAGAAAGTATTTTTATTGACTATAGAAATTACTTGCTTGTGAAATTGGGAAAGAATGGGAAATTGATTGACCTAGTCAAAATTATGGTATAATTGGCTCTCCTTTACTTGATATTATAAGTACTTGACCTTAATTAAATGATTGCTTATTTACCTTGTTTTGAGAAAATGAATTTGAATTGTGCACATATGTTTAATTTCAAAGTTTTGGATCTTTGTTGGTTTGTAGTTCTTAATTGCTCGAGGACAAGAAATAGTTCAAGTGTGGAGAAATTTGATAAGTGTGTATTTTGAGTTATTTAAGTGTATTTTATTATTTTGTTTTGGTGTGTTTTACTTATTTTTATAACTAATTAACTAGAATTCTAGTAAAAGCATACATTTTATGGTTTTAAGTATCAAAAATTGCATTTATATGATTTAAAGTGATGAAAACTTCATATTTTTGTAAATTTAATGATTCAATCATCGAATGGAGTTAATTGAGAAGATGTTTGGATGATTTATTGATGATTTGAAGTGATTTAAAGATAATATGAAGTGCAAAAGATGAAATACAAGCAAGTATAAAAGAAAGGGAATTTGATAACTTTGATACCTGTTGGTATTTGGACTATTTCTTGAGTTACAAGTATCAGATTGAGATGATTTATAAGCCATTTTAAAGCTTACGCATAGTTCTACATTTCATATGGCGATATCAAAATCCAGTTCATGAGTTTTCCTAATCAAAAAATCAAAATACAGTTGGCCATTTCTGTTGTCAAAAGCTGAAATATGAGATTGACTAGGCAAGGATATTTTGCTCATTTTGTAATCTACAGAGTTCCAAATTGGGTGATTCTTGAAGCATTGGAAAGCTAACTCAAAGGCTACAACTTTTATGTTTTGAATAAGAGTTAATTCAGTCTCTATCATCAAGAAAATATCTGTTGTAATTGGTGAAAAAATAAAGCAAAGTTGAGGACTGACTAGATATGAGGAAACCTACAATAAGATAAAACGTAGGGTAATACACAACCTCAACCCGCATTTTCAGAGGTCACGTTTTCTTCAATTGCGACCACAAATTGTTCTGTAACTTGTGCTCAATTCACACAAACTTTTTGATCAATTTGTCTACAAAAATTCTGGCTGGATATGGCAAGCAAGCATATAGACTTCAAAAAGCGACTTTTGGAGATTTTAAGAGATAACTTTACCAACTAGAAACAACTCACTTTGAGCTTGAATTCCTCTATAAATAGGTACTTTGTTTAGCTTGTTTAATAACTTCGGAAGGTTAGAAACACTACTAAAATGTAGACTTCACTGGTTTTTCTTAGTTCATTAGTATAGTACAGTTAGTGTAGTTCATCCTTCTTGTCATTGTAGTTAGATTTGGATAAAGATTTGAGGATCAAAATAGAGAGTTTGAGTTCATGTGGCAAGGGTGATTTCTCTCCTATCACTTTCTCTTTTGTATTTGAGTTCATATTTAATTATAATATAAGTATAGTCTTTTCTTTCATTCTCTTCATGTTTAGTTAAAGTTTATATCTAGAGTTATGGATGAACTTTTTATATTTTGTTAGTGATATTTACTTGATTATTTGATGATATTATTTTGAATAAGTTATATATCATTTTTGCTTTTCTAATCATGATTAACCGGCCATTAATTGTGATAATTTTAAGGTGTTAATTTTGCAATGAGAATTGAAACTTGACACTAGTTCGAGGAAGTGCTAAACTTTGGAAGTTCACTCACGAGAGTAGAGGTGCATCTATGTGGTTTTAATGACTTGTTCCATTAATTTCATAGAAAAAATAAATTTGTAGTTAATTTCATAACCACGATAATAGGTATGACTTAGTTATAAGTATAATTGATTCACATACATTAGGAAATTACATCATAACTAACCAAGATAATAACATTCACCTAAACGTTAATTTCATTTGCATGAGTAGTGAAGAATTTCATAGCCCTAGGAGTTTTCTACTGTTATTTTTATTACTTTTATTTTATGTTTGTAGTGTAGATTTAACTTCTTACATTTGTAATAGTTTAAATAATAAAGGAGCTTGAAAACCGAGTTTTTTTGCCAAAATAACACTCTTCCTAAAAAATATTCCCAATGTGATTTACTTTCAAATTTTATTCCCATAACGATGTTATTGTTGCCATCTAGTTATTCTAATTGCCATGCAGGATAATAAGAAAGGAAAGTTCTAATCTAATTTATAGTTTCCATCATGAACTAAAAATTTAAATTTTTTTATTATAGAGGCACAAGAAGATTGCATAACTTTTATAATTTCCTTATAATTATTTAAATAAATTCTGCCATTATTGACCTTGCTATTATTGGTTTCTAAATTTTTTAAAATGTATCAAGCCTATTGCATATATTTTTTAGAAAAAATAAATTTTAAAAATACAAAAATTGTAGCAAAAATTTCAATGAAAATTGTAAGCAATTACAAAAACTTCAAAGCTATCATATTTATTTATGTTATCCTTCCTACTCCTTAAAAAGACAAGAGAATAACTTCTATTTGCTTTGAGATTATCGATTCGAGAAGCATATTTTTTAGGTGTTGTTAATATAAATATTGGCTCCTTAGAATTACGTTTGACAAAGGAAAAATAATTAAACAAAAAAAATACGGGAAGGTTTAGAAAGAAAATTGGAGAAGATATTATATGGGAAAGAGAAATGAAATGTGCCTTTATCTCCATCCTAGCACATATGCAGCCTAAGTGGCAAAAAAAGAATCATAAAGATAATAAATTTTAAAATTAGGTTACTTTGGGTAAATGTTTTGGAAGAAGAGTTATTTTGGCAATAAACTCCTTAAAAACCATCAATAATTGACAAATTTTCCTTGTAGGATTGACATCTAATATCTTTGCACTTGATAAATGATCAGTGGCGGAGCTAGGAATTAATTTTGGGGGGGGGCAAGTCTATAGTAATGAAAGTAAAATATATTTACAAAAAAAAAATAATGTGAACATATATACCACAAGATTAGAAACAACCTTATATAGAATGAAAATTACTTATACGCTTCACATATACAAAAATATCATCATATTTACAAATCTATTTGACTGTGTGGGACATATGAAATTGTGCATGACGACTTTTAATTTTATCAAAGTCATCAATGATTGAATTTACATCAAAAGTTCTAGCAATTTCTTTCTCAATATACATTATCATAGTGTTGGCAAGAAAGTCTTCCTCTATCCTAGAACGCAAACAAGTCTCGATGATTTTCATAGCAGAAAATACATGCTCTGTTGTAACTGTTGAAACAGGAAGAGTCAAAATAAGACGAATCAATCTATCAATAAGAGTATAGCACATTAACTTTCTTGTCTTCGCTAACACTTGGCACAACTCCTGAAGTGATGACAAATTTTGACGCTGAGAATTATAGGAAAACTCAATCTGGAAAAGCTCTAATTGAATTCTTAAGTGTAACTTCTCTTGATCTGTGAAGTCAGCTGAATAAAACTTGTTTGCAAGTTGACAAATTTGTTCAATATTGAAAGCCTGAAAATTATCTTTGGGGTGCAATGTTGAACTAAGAATAAGCAACTCTATTACATCTTCCTTAAACCTATTCTTCATTTCAAGTATTTGAGAATCAACCGTTGCCAAAAACACATCAATCCTGTAGTGATACTCCATGGTAATTGGATCATTTTGTTTTCGAATTCTTTCTCGACCTGCTTTATAAATGACATTCATATCAGGCATCTCTATATTTCATGCATCACAAAATGTCTTTACATTGGTGAACAATTCATTCCATCCGTTATCTCTGTAACTTTGAAGTCGATCCTTTGTTACTGAAACCAATTTAAGGGCATTCAAAATATCTTGAGATTTGCATTGTAAAGCTTGAGAAAGTACTTGTGCAAATCCTAAAATGTCCCTCATCATATGCATAATAAGAACAAAATCAAAGGATGTCATGAAATCATAAACTCTGTCAGCTTCACTTCTTTGAGTTGATGTATTTCCATAATTGATAACATCAATTAGGACTGAGCAAATGTCTTCATATTCTGTGAATAAGCTACATATAGAACTAAAATGAGACCCCCATCTTGTAGTCCCTGGCCGTTTTAAGGTACCCATTTGATTCTGACCCCTACCAGTCTCAAGTTCATCAATAGCAATCAATTCAGCAATTCTAGCAGCTCTAGCAACTCTAAGTTGGTCCACTCGTTTGCAAGAAGATGAAACTAAATTTATAAGAAGAGATAAGTTTGTAAAGAATTGTTCCATAGGAATTACCTCTTGAGATGTTTCTACCAATGTTAATTGCAGTCGATGAGCAAAACAGTGAATATAATATGCATAGGGGCACTCCTGAACAAATAATGCTTGCAGTCCATTCCATTCTCCACGCATGTTACTAGCTCCATCATATCCTTGGCCACGAATGTTTTGCATACTAAGATTATGGCGAGAAAGGACATCACATATCTCCTTCTTCAAAGTCAAGGAATTGGTTTCGTGCACATGAACACTGTCAAAAAATCTCTCTCGAATATAGCCTTGCTTGTCCACAAATCTAAGAACAATAGCCATTTGCTCTCTTTTTGATCTATCTTGAGCCTCATCAACAAGTATAGAAAATTTTGAATCACTAATCTCCTCTCGAATATGCTTTTGTATCTTGCTCGACCAAATGGACAGTATCTCCTTTTGGATCTTAGGAGAAGTATAAGATACATTTCGAGGAGCATTATCAAGAACCACAGCAGCCACTTTTTCATTATAAGGAGACACATGCTTGATCAACTCAATAAAATTACCTCGATTGTTAGAATCTAAACTTTCATCATGACCCCTAAAAGCCACCGCTTGAAATGCACACCATTTTGCAGCATCTATGGAAACTTGAAGTTGCAACCGATTTTTTGCAACCTGCTCAGAATTTTGCTTCTCAATAATTTTATCAAGATGTTGCAATGAGTTTCCCAAATCATGATAGCATTGCATTGCCACTTTGTGTGATGAGTTAGGATCTTTTCCAATGTGATTTAAAAAAGCACAATTTTTTCCATCATTTACCTTCTTCCATGATCTAAATCCACTAGTTGTGAAGGCCATTGATCCAAAACGGTCCATTGGCTTGGAAAAAAGTGAGCAAGGAATACAAAAGGCAGCATTCTTTGTTGGAGAAAATTCCAACCAATCTGGAAACAATTTATACTAAGAGAAAAGGAAACGTCGGCTCTTCTTGTCAACAACCATTGATTCAATCGGAAGCTCAGGTTGGTATGGTCCAAACTTAATATATGCTCTCCGTACCTCATCCTTTTGATGCTCTACATATTCCCAAATGAATTTTCTCTTTCCAGGATCACGTTCTATGGATGAAATATCAAACTCTAATGATTCAGCTCTACAAAATTTCTTTGTTTGATGCTTAGGAGAAGAAACATGAAAAGGACAAGGAATTTCACCACTTCCACTTGGTTCTAGACGTCTTTTCTTGAAAAAAGAATCAATTGTCCTGTTGGCCATTACCACTATATTTGCAACAAACAACAACCTGTAATCGAAATAAAATTGATTGAGAAATGCTGATTATGGCCTATAGAAATGTAGTAAAAGCAGCAAGAACATTTGCAACCTAAGTAGACATAAGTGACATGCACAAAGTATTATTCAATAATAAAATGCAAACAAATGATAAAAGATCTCCATTAGAGCAGAACAAGTTCTCATTTCAAACATATCTCAAGGAAGTTTTCATAGCTTGTTATTAAATCGGCTGAACTTGAACAACTAACACCTACTTGAACTCATCAACTACTATTCTGTAATCCGAATAATAATCAATAACTATCCATGCCAGTAAAAGTTTCTATAGTCTAAACAAGCATTACTTTAAAGTATAAACGGAAACAAAGATAGGCAATTCTAGAGGAACAAATATTCAGAAGGTCTTACTGCCTGCTGTCTAGAAAACCATGATAAATAAAGCAATGATAAAATATAATCAGTAAAATGACAAGCAGAAAACTAAAACTCAATGCGACAAGTTATTTGCCCAATAAAACTCAATGCTACAAGTATGAAAAATAATACAAGTCCCTCTCGAGCAATTCATCAAACAACTAGCGGGCGAACTTTTTACACCTACATTTCACTAAATAAATGCAATGTCAAACTAACCTGGTCAATTTAAGCAACCAATGTCTAATTCATTAACTTGCTCTGATGATACAATAATATGAAACAACCCCTTTACTTCCTGGAAAAAAAAAAAAGACAGGTTCAGCAAATGCTAAAAGAAAAATTACCCAGACGGCTAGACCATGCAAAATGCAATGGTACAATCCTTAGCCAGCGGGGGAAGGTCTTCACAGGAGAAAGTTCTTCAAGCTTTCACAGGAGAAAGTTCTTCAAGGCTCAAGCCTTTGAGGTTTCTATTTTCTACTTTGACGTTTCTACTTAGGAAGAAGAATTGTAGCAGTCAATTGCCAAGTTAACTAACTGAATATCTTTTCTTTGCACTTCATAGTTCATACGTTAAGAAAATAATTTCTGTGTTATTTGGACTTTCAAATATTATTATTTGGGCCCTAGGGGGCAAAGTGAATTTTTTGATTAATTTTTGGAGGGGCAAAACATAATAATAAAATTTTTTTTACTTAGAAATTTTTTTTTAACAATTGGAGGGGGGGCGGTTGCCCCCCCTTCCCTCCGCCCCTGTAAATGATCTATATATTTATAGAAAATAGAGTGTTTAGATTTTATTAAAATTTGGTACATGATAGAACTTCATCATTAGTAATATGTTCTCGTCTCAACTGACGGGTTATCCTAATATGACGCATTTTGAATACGCGTCATAATTGTGCGCGTCATAATTGTGTTAACCTAATTACCATACAAAATTTTTCATATCGTGTTTGACTCAAGTATTTTTCGAGTTTTGTTAACATTTAACCGACAATTTACTCATGCAAAACCCATGAGCTGATCTATACGACTCATTCTATATATGTTTTGTAATCGTGTCAACTCACCCTAACGCAATTGCAAAACAAATTTTGTCACTGTCATGTTTGGGTTAGATAATTTTCGAGTCATGTTCATATCATGTCCAAAATTGTCACCTCTAATAAAATCAACTAGTTTTGGTTTTATTATTGTGGATCGGTTGCAATCTCATATTCAAAATAATAATAATAATAGTAATTTAAGTCGTATTTTCCATTATCGTGAGTCTTATTCCTCAAATCCACCTTTCTTTTGGCTAAAAAAACCAGTTAAAAGCATAATCAATTGACAAAAGAAGGGATAAAGCGCACTTAACTACTTTTGAAATAAAAGCAAAAAAGGTAAGAAATTTTATCATGACAGCAGAGAGAGAGAGAGAGAGAGAGAGGACCCTATTGTTGGATATTTATGATTTCTCTTTGTCGTATTTGGTTCTTTTTCAAATGAAATTGCAGATTTTGCATTGTTTTAGGAATTAAACTCATTTGAATACCAGACGATAATGCTACAGCAAAATTAAGTGTTCAATTGGTTTAAAGGAAAACTTTACTCGTCCTTCTACAACAATGATTAGTACAGCTACACAGTTTTAGTCCCCCAACAATTACTCTGTCTTCTATCGCTCTAGAACAACCGCCTTTGCAGTGACGGTTTACGTTGCCACTTCGTTTACGAGGGGGTGTTCATCGGTTGATAATCGAGAATTTGATAAAAAAAAAATTTGAAAATGCAGGAATAAGTTTATCAAGATCAACATCCAATTACCATCCAAACTTTAATTTGGTAAATTGGATATTGGTAATTAGATTTCAACCGAAAAATCGGTAATTAGGTAATATCCGGAATTCAAAATATCAATTGCAAGCTAAAATATTTTAATTTTCTGCAAAAAAATTATTGCACCAAAAACTTTAATTTGGTAAATTGGATATTGGTAATTAGATTTCAACCAAAAAATCGGTAATTAGGTAATATCCGAAATTCAAAATATCAATTGCAAGCTAAAATATTTTAATTTTCTGCAAAAAAATTATTGCACCAAAAACTTTAATTTGGTAAATTGGATATTGGTAATTATATTTCAACCGAAAAATCGGTAATTAGGTAATATCCGAAATTCAAAATATCAATTGCAAGCCAAAATATTTTAATTTTCTGCAAAAAAATTTATTGCACCAAAATAATATATCATATTTTTTTCCAACAAAATTCAATCAATTTAAGTAATAATACTTTACGAGACTACTAATTAGTAGTTAGTAGTTAACTAATCACTCATTACTAATTAGTATTTAGGAATATATATATATATATATATATATATATGTGTGTGTGTGTGTGTGTGTGTGTGTATATATACATTCCATTGTATTATAAAAGTTTCAAAAATTCGATCGATAATCGGTAGCGTATTCTTAATTTTCGTTCCTAAACTATTTTGCCAAACATTATTATTGAATATATTTTAGTTTTATCAAATTCCGTTTTATCGAAATCCGAAATCAAATCTAGACTCGATCGATCAATTTTTCAGCCAACCATTTACAGAATCCCGAAACCGTCACATCAAAATTCCAAGATATCACTATTACCATCCCAGGTATATGCCCCTGTCATCTTCTCCTAGATGCTAAAATTGCCAACCCTCAGAGCGCTCCAAGGCATGAGAATTGGTTGGGAAATCATTAATTTACTAAATTTGAAATTTGAATTTCACAAAACTTTTTTTTTTAAGAAAATTTTTGACATTCTTTGTTTCATCATTAAATACCTTTCTGATTTAATATCAAATTCGGTTAATATTAGGCTTCAGAATGTGTTAGGGAAAAAAAAAAAAAAAGAGGCGGTCTTGATAATAACAAGCAATTGCATTTCAGTTTCATCAAACAAGCATCGATAACACATCTAGTAGCTCCCTTCTTCATCAGTTCATCATGAATTCAGCATAAAACAAGTAGGCAGAGCTCAATAACTATAGCAATCACAACCAGAATGCTACATTAGGTCAAAAATATAATCTACAATACAAAATTACAAGGTTCCAATGTAATGCAGAGCTTGGTATCAACTTCTTGCTTGTGGTGAACAAAAACCTTTAAAGTTCCAGCCGAATCTTCAAGTTATAGACATCAACCTCCCTTTCCTTAGAGCACCAATTCCCTGGAATATCTAAATGATGAGTTTTCACAAATTGAACCAACGAAGGCCAAGAAAATGTTCTCAGGGGCAAGATTCATACATGATTTACCAAACCAAAATCCTAGATTAAGAAGTTGCAAGTGGTCAGTTGCAAAATTAGCAATTAACGGTACTGACAAGTTTAAATCCAAGTTAGTACTAGAATTAAGACAACACGATGCAATGAGTTTCAAGAGGACAGCAAATGCCTTTCCAGATTTAACAAGACTAAGCAATTTATGATACAGCAGCCTAAGTAGTTCTTAACTAGCTATATGTCATGAAGCAAATAGAAATACAAGAGATATCATCTCAGAAATGAATGAAGCAGTTGTATAAGCAGCTGGAAATTCATTAAATAGACTTACGAGTATGTGATCCAAATCATGCTCATGATCTCAAATTTGAACTCCTAATAAAGACTTTGATATCTCCATAATCTTCTTTAATCTGGTCTGCTGATTCTTCTGCAGATTTTCCACACCAGTTCACTTCAATCATTCGCAATGAACCTATCATACCAAAGTCCTCCGGAATTTCTTCAAGGTCTTTGCAATTTTGCAAGACAAGTCTTTCAAGCTTGGGGAAATTATGACAAGAGGCATTCCATTGAGCAATGTTCAGATTGTCTAAGCTCAAGAACTTGAGATTCTTAAACTCTTCTTCAACATTCCATATTTTCCCCTCAAAGGCACCAGAATGTAACTTGAGAACTTCCAGGTTTGGTAGTCTCCCAATTGTGGAAATACGAATCCACGGAAGGCGAAAGTTTGATAAAGTCAATTTCTTTAGATTCAAAGGGAGGTTGAACTCACCATTGTTAAGAGGGCTTCCACAATAGAATATCTTGAGTGACTCCAAATGAGTTAGACAGTTCAATCTCGGAAACTGATTGCAGTTCGTGGAAGAATCTGGTGATTCATAGAATATGCAACTCAGTTTGCAAAGATTTGGAAGCCTCTTTATTATCCTTTCTGCATCCTCACCACAAGAAAGCGATGGACAGGAAAAGCTGACCAGATTTTCTAACATAGAGCCATCACCAAGCTCTTTATCATCTGAGTCGAAAGCAACATGGACTTTTACATGAAGATGCCTTAAACTTGTGATGCTCCAAATAGTATTCGGTAATATGATCTTACCGCTTAACCCATTAACAATAAGAATTCTTAGTTTCCTGAGGTTGGCTATCGATTGTGGAATGGATTTCAGATAGCCTCCAACTGCTAAATATCTCAACTGTACCAGAAGTCCAATTTCAACAGGAAATGAAATACCCAAGTTGAAGCATTCAAAATCCAACACTCTAAGTAATTTGAATTTGTCCCAAATGAATGAGATGTCATAAGGACGGTCTGGTTTAGAATCTGTACACGCAGAGAACAACAAAGAACGGGTGGCCAAGCCAGAAGGATTTGATTCAACAAAGTGGTTTCGCTTCAAATATACAGCCAACCGATAGGATGCAAATGATGCAGGAGATGAATGATAGTAAAAATCAAATTCAAAACCGTAATCTGTACTAGGAAATGAAGCATATGGATTGTCAGATCTGTTTATCAGCTGAAAGAAGTTCTGATCCTTGGTTTTAGACTTACAGAAATCAAGGACAAGATCATGGAGGCGACATGCTCTAACCTTGCCGTTGGATCTTCTTTTGGAGATTATCACCAAGCTTCTGTCAATCAGATCCATCAAGAAAGCCTCGGCCACATCTTCAAAGCCTTCCATAGTTTCTGGTATGAAACCTTCTGCGATCCAAGACCTTATCAACTTGCTGACAAGAATATCTCTATTTTCATTAAGAGCTCCCAAATACAGAAAGCACAATTTAAGATATTCTGGCAAGTGTTTGTAGCTGAGATCTATGACTTCTTTGCACCAAGCTCCTTCATTGTCAATTATTTGTGAGCTCAAGGTATCTGCTATTCTTTTCCACGAATTTTGGCTTTTTTCTGTCATTTTCAGTATACCAGCAACTGCAACAACAGCAAGAGGCAATCCTTGACAGCGGTAAGCAATATCATTTCCAACTCCCAACAGCTCATCAGGGCAACCTTCTTCCTTGAATACCTTCTTTTTTAACAGCTGCCAGCTTTCCTCCTGAGAAAAAAGGCTAAGAGAAAGAGGATAACCTTCTCCTTCCTGTTTAATTTCCAGGGCCACGCTACGGAGGCGACCGGTGAAGAGAATTCTACTTCCATTCTTTTTATTTGGGAATGAGTCTTTCAAGTAATTCCAAGCTTCAGCATCCCAAACGTCATCCATAATTATGAGATACCTGTTTTTAAGTAACAACTTATGCAATTCATGTTTGAGATCTTCATCCCTCATTTGCCGAATCTCTTCCGTGGGCTCACAAATCCCTGTTAGAATCTCAAGCAATAATCTCTTTTTCTCATATTTTTCGGAAACAGTGCACCATGCGCGAACATGGAAGTGGCGCGTGACATTAAGACTGCTATACACCTTCCTCGCCAATGTTGTCTTGCCTAAACCAGGCATTCCAGCAATAAAAACGATGTCTAGCTCTGAGGATCCCCAAATAAGCTGGTTGCGAATTTCATTTTCTCTGTTGCTAATATCCACCACAATTTCGTCAATTGCTGTTGTACTGTTTCTTGATGACCTGTCAAGTGAAACCAGAGTGACATTTTTGGATTCTTGGACTGTTGCATCAGGAGTTGTCAAATGAATTTTCCTGGCCTTCTCGCTGAGAAGTCTCAACTCCTCCAGCACATTGTCCAACCAGAAGAAATACTGCCATTGAGCATCAAGCTCAATTGAATCAACTATGTACTCCACTTTATATGCCGAATCAGTGACTCGATCAACAAGATCTTCTAGCTCTGGATGCTCATCAATGTCCAACTGTGAAACATTCTCAAGAGAAGACTTCAATGACTGGAGATGTATTTGAATCTCTTCCATGTGGTGCTTCGCCAATGCAGTTGATGCAGGATTATATTTCAGCGGTTCCCCAAGGTTTCTCCATATAAAATCAATGAAATTCAGATTGGAAGACTTGGGGAAATCAAACTTTGGAAATTTAGGGATAATCTCTGTGAGCTTTGCCTTGGTCAAATGCTTCGCCTCATCTAACAGCTCAGAAATTGGAAGGTTGGTCATTTCATCTCGTGTGTTAAGGAAATAGTAAGAGAAACATGTCAGCCTCCTAAGGGATTCTCCAATTGCTTCTAATACATCCCTGTTCTTAATTCTCTCGTCTGAGAGAATTAGTGTGATATACTCAAACTTCTGAAGGTGGAGTTTCATTTTATCTTTCCCACGAGCTACTAGCCTTTCGTCATTCCTGCCCTTTAGAAGTAACAGCTCAGTCAGAAATGACTCTCCCTTGAAAATCACAATCTTAAAACGAAGTAATAGAAGTGAGTTTTTCGCTGCAGATGCTGTGATTTCCTTGCGCCTAGATGACTCGTAGAGAGTTTTTTCCTCCTTGAATGTTGATTCAATCAGTGCCAACAATTTTTTCCCATCTAATCTCGTTCCCAATGGCAACTTCTCAGAATATGTGCGCAGACTTTTGGGGATTTGTCTACAATTGTCCATGATATTGTCAAAATCGGGAAGCATACTGGAGGAAAGGGAAGAAATGTTTCTACTCCTTTTCGTGCCATGGATTTGCACCACAAGGAAAAGCTCTGCTTCAAGAAGACAAATCTTTGTAAGCAACTCAGAACAGCGTGGTGAGTTGTCCAGTTTTTTCCCATTACGACCAGTTGATTCAAATATAGATGCCATCTCTACTAGCACTGCATGAATTTCTGGAATGAAACTTCGTGCTGTGTCCTCATCATCCAGTACAGAAGTAGCGTAGAGAAAGAGCTGTAACAGTGAAAACACCTTGTGTCGAAAATGTCCATCTCTACCACAAAATAGATAGTCGCAAAAACTGCGCAGAAAATCATTAAACGCAACCGTCTCGGAACACGAGAGAGCCATAAGGAAATTGAGATGGAAACCCATGAATTTGGGATTACTAGGATGAATTTCATTGTGCAGATTCACCAGGAACTCAACCAGCTCTCTTTTCATCACCTGGATTCGGCCTGCCTTGCAATTTAACCAGCAATCACTACACCAACTTGCAATCCGTAGGGCCAGGGATAAAACATGGCCAACGCAAGCATCAAAACTAGGCAGCCCACGAGCATCTGTTGTTGCTCCTGATCCCAGGAATTTGCGGGCATGAAATAATGAAACAAGGTAATGTTCGATGTTCCTTGTATTATAATACAAGGAATGGAAATGGATCATTACACCAGAATCTTCATAACCCCAGTGATTAGCTGCCATCAAGGACACAGTTGACCGTACATACAGTAGTAAATATTTGCAAAAGGAGTCATCAAATACAAATGAGCTGCTGTCGCTGCTGCCGCCGCCGCCTCCTCTTGACCACATCAAGTACAAACGGTCAAGAGCTTCTGCAACTTTAGCAATCAAGCGCTTGGTTTTTGTTCCACAATCATGGGCTAATTCGTTTAGGGCTTCTTCATCTTTTATATGGTGATCATCCACCATCTTTTCTGTACGGAAACGAGTAAGTTCCTGGGCAATCTCCTCGGCTGTTGCTTCAATCTTGAGGCAGATGTCCATACTCCTCTTCTCCTCATCTGTAGCGGCTTCACTCCTCTCATGACCGGATTTCCAAAGTTTTGCCAAAAATTCCCAATCATTTGTGACTTTTGACAGGATGACCGAGCGATACTTTATGCGTTTCAGCGCAGAATTAAGGCGATCCAAGCTTGAAGAAGAACCAGCCCCAGCGGCAGAAGCCATCATCTCCAAATTTTTCTACAACAGATCCATCTCTCTAATCAATAACAACTTTATGTATTTCTACTAAAATTTTTTGTATTTCTACTATAGATCTATCTCTCCAAATTTTTTGTATTTCCAAAGTTAGTAAAAGGTAATCGATACATTGATTAGTCAAAAATTAACTCAGATATGTCATTACATTTTATTACATCAATTGAAATGAATTATGTGATGAAGAGTGGGAAGAAGAATACCTATTTTAGCACCTTCTGCACAAACTTGAAGCTGAAAATAATTGAAAACGTCTTACTGGAAAAGAAAAGCTAGATGATTGCTTCCGAGCTTTGGAGGAGAGGAAAGAAAAGAGTCAACTGATTGGGGGAAGCTGTGCAAGAGCCTCACCAAACCACTTAAAATATTTGGATATATTACAGGTAACGTCCCTGTGATTTCACCTATTATGATATGACTCTTCTAATATTTTAAAATATTCATTTCATCCCGAAAATTTGATACAAAATAAATTCTATAGTATTACAAGTTGAAATACCAATAATTCCCTACTTAAATACCAAATCCAACAACAGCCTAGTCACCTTGCATAAAATTACAAGGGGATCATCTGGGTAAAATTAGGGATGGCAACGGGGCGGGGGACCCCTCCCCCGCCCCCCGCCCCCCGTCCCGTCCCCCGCCTCCCATTACCCCTGCCCCGTCCAGCTTCCTCCGCAGGTGCCCTGCGGGGTTAATAAAATTTTTTCTTCGGAGTTAATAAAATTTTATTATAATTAAATTTTAATAAATAATCAAGTATTAAAATATCAACACCTCATCAAGTTATTATTCATTGTAATTTTACAATTGAAATTCATAAAAACAATCAAACAAAAATTATTTGAATACAATCCAACATGATGAAATAAATATAATTAAAATAGTTAAGTTTTCACTTTTGGTACAAATACAATCACTAATTCATAATTGTGTTTGTGCTTTTTTTTGAGAAAAAAATATTATTCTATTAAGTGTAATTAAAAATTTAGTATAAATGTATTAGTAAATTTAGTATAACTGATTAATAAATTCTATTAGTAGACATGTCTAATTATTTGTATAATTGATAATATCAATTATATTACATACACTAATATAAATTATATAATACATCTAACTAATAATATCATTATCATAAGTTTATAACTAATTAAATTACATATTATATATAATTATATCTATATATATATAATTTTTTTTTGCGGGTGGCAGGGCGGGGGATGGGGCGGGGGTATACCCCCCCGCCCCCCGCCCCGTTTCTAAACGGGGGGAAAAATTCCCGCCCCTACCCCTGCCCCGAGAGCCCCTCGCCCCCATTGCCATCCCAAAATATAAAAGATATAAGGAAATAAAATAAATATTTATGCAAATCATAAAATGAATATTTATTCAATTGTCGTGACCGATGATTCATTCCATTCATTTTCTATTTTACATGAAACTACGAAGAGTTATATAGTTATTTTAAAATCTTAAAAGGGTCATTTGACATTATATAAAATTATAAAAGGGGTTATATATAATTTACCATCTCAATGCATTCAACCATGCACACAGGCCAACGAGCAGTGACAACTAAACCAAGCCCTGTACTAGTGCAGTCCCTCTCTAGTCGCAATTGACTCTTTTGCAAGTGAGATGGTCCATCAAACCGGACAAAGTAGCAGCGGTACTGGTAGGTAAGGAGTCACTGTCTTCTTGTTGATTCTTGGCCCTGTAGTGGTACAATTATTGGAAATGTGGACCTGTAGATTAGAAATTTTCCCAGCAATGGCATGGGAAAGGAGACTTAAATTAGTGCATGACTATAAAGGTACACCTGATAAAATTTCTGTTGGACCTTTAAACAATGAACAATAGATATACTCTCGTTAAAATCCAATCAAATCGATTTAAGAGTGCGTTCGATAAAATTGCAATTTAAAATTTGAATTTATTATGTTATTAAATTGTTAAGTATTAAATTAAATACATTTGAGTGTATATCACATTCAGTGATAAGTGAATACCTTATCACTTATTTTTTAGAGCAAGTTTTGTTTAGAAATTTCAGTAACACTTAATTAATTCAGACTTTCAATTTTTTATTATCAAACATATTTGAATATATTAAAATTTGAATACATTAAATTTAAGTATTAATTACGTTATCAATCAAGGAGGTTTATAGCTTTCCAACCGTAAGCTAGTTTGCTAAAACCAAAAAGGATCACTTTCCACGATCCATGTCCTGGCTGCCATTATACAATTGTGATCAATTAAGAACAGGTATTTTCTCTAGTTTCTTCCAATTCTCAAATCTAGGTGCACATGATATGCACATGGCATTAAGTCAATATGAACAGGGAAAATATTTTAAAAATTATAACACCAAAAACAAACTCTTCTCTCTAAAAAAAATTTTAAAATGTTTGAGAAGATGATATTAAAGTCATCATGAAACGAAAAAAAATGAAAATGATAACATCACAAAACAAACCATTCCCTCTAGAAAAAAATTAAAAATTATCGCATCAGAAACAAACTCTTCTCTCCGCTGGAGGGATCTCTTTTATGGTATCTTCTTTCCACTCTGATATGAGATTTCATGATCTAAAACTTTCTCATCTAACAAATACTCCTTCCGTCCCACTTTGATAGTCATGTTTTCCTTTTTCGTCTGTCCTAAATTGTAGTCCATTTTTCAATTAAAGAATGTAGTCGTATTTTAATTTTTCTAAAATACCTACTCTAATTAATGTGAGGGTATTTTAGAAAAATAGTTACCTAAATTGATTGTTTCAATAAAGTTAACTATTTTTTCTTAAATTGTGTGAAAAAAATCAAGATTATCAAAGTGGGACGGAGGGAGTATAACAAACAGCAGGTTGGACATTTTTTTTAAAAATTTTTTTGTATAAATATTGTAAAGCTATCTTGTTCAGATAAGATACGGTGCAGCAGAAGTCACAAAAAGTTGAATAAATGCGACTACACTTTCCCGACAACTTCAGTAGTGCCAGACGAGACCAAGTACAAGATCAAAGTTACCGACCAATCTGGTCCTTTATTAGTGGCCACGCGTGTACCAATTTAGTCGCTTGCCTTCTTTTGTGACCAAATTGAAGTAAGATTTCACCCATTTCACGCTCAAATTGCAGAGCAGTAAGATTACAACATTCATGTAATGCTTTCCGCATTAATTTCGATTTGTTCTTAATTAAATGGGTTTAAAGTAAATGTTTTCTAACCGATTATCAAATTTGAATCACAATGTAAATCAGTCAGAGAAGCAGCTGAGTTTTCCTGCTATAATATTGTTGCTAGCTTGTAGCTGTAATTAAATGTTTATAGAAATGCAACTTATTTAAAATTTGTAGAATGCAGATCAAGAAAATCGTTTTGTGCTTCAAAAGGAAAGTCATGTTCTGCTATTAACTCAAATTTAGTTGCTCCTTTTTGTATACATTGTATTTTTAAAAAAAAAATTAAAAAATGTAGAGCAATTTTCAAATTGTACATGTATAGTGCAAATACATGGATTATCCAATAGTAAAAACTAATGATAAGATTGTTTAGCTAAGAATTAACTAGTTATGTCTACTTGTTACACTGGTTTTTTTTTTTTTTTTACCATTTTAGAAGTAATAGGGATAGTGTTTTAATTTTGGTCTATCATCTTTTTTTGGGTCCCTACCCAACCGACGAGCACCACTCACTAGGCATTGACAAGGAGGAACATGAAACGCTATTAGAGATGGCAATGGGTAGAGTAATACCTGATATTCACGAGTAGTCACTCAAAAATTAATTGCATTAGACAGCGAATGGGTTATCCGTTAGGATTTGGCACTAATGAAAGCTTATCAATGGATAACCCAAGAGGATTGGGTAAGAAAGCCCTAAAAATTCAATACTCGATTGTATATATGTATATATTTATATCTTCTTGGGTCTTAGTTTTATAGTATAATAATACATAACTCTAAACCAACTCGTTTTACAACCCAAAATTCACTTATTCTCTTTAGTTTATATTTTTAATCTCTATATTTGTCTTTGATGGGTTTCGATTATGCACTCAAATTTAATTCCAAACTCTCATTATTTGCAAGTATATAGGTCGTAACTATAACTTAAGTAGTATAAGTGTCGATCGTACAGGGAACTTATATTTCAATTACTAGGTCCTTATTTTTCTCTATTATTTAGATGGCAAACAAATTAATGTAACAAAAAACAAACCAAAATTGTAATCCAAACTTGTAGATGAATATTCTAGAGGAAAAATTACCGAATACAAAGTTCTACGGTATAGATTCCACTAATGCTGAAGAATACAAATGTAATGATCATTCTCTTGCTAGTTAACCTTGTCTCGTTAGGGATGCATTTCCAAGATTAATCAAGACTCACTCTCTACTCTCACATCTCTCTCTCTCTCTCTCTCTCTCTCTCTGAGTACACATTGCCAAAAAAAAATTTTCTTTTTTTGTTTGGTGTGTGTGCATGATGGGGGCTATGTAGTGATCAATATCGCAAGACTTTTCCTTCTTGCACCTGAAATTTAATCAAATAAAGAAGCTATTGAAGACCTAATACAAATAAGCTTCATTATTTGCTCCGTATTGGAGGGACTAACTCCACTTTGCCGCATTATCAAAATAGTGATTTGTTTGAATGGTTGTTGTGTAGGTGAGGGTCAACTCACCGAGCCAAGGTCAAACACCAGACGAGCTCACCTGCAAAATAGGAAGTGGTCAGAGCTGAATCCCCTTAGGTTACTCCGATACTTAAATTAGAATTTATCAAGAGCTATATTGAGTAAATTTTAGTGCGTACCTTTCAAGTGAGCAATAAGTTGGTATTTATATTGGTGGAGTTGGGGAGTAGAATGATAAAGTTTATCAGTAGCTTGACCTCGTAGGATAAGACAGGGTGGCGATGTCAGGAGTAAGGCTGAACTATAAGGTGACCGGCTATCACATATCTCTCTCTCTCTCTCTCTCTCTCTCTCTCTCTCTCTCTCTCTTTGCATACACATTACTAAGAATTTTTTTTTTGTTTTTTGTGTGTGTGTGTGTGTGCGGGAAGGTAGTGATAAATATTACAAGACTTTTCCTTCTTCCATTTGAAACTTGATCAAATAAAGAAGCTATTGGAGACTTCATACAAATAACCTTCACTATTGGCTGCATTATTGAAGGGACTAACTCCACTTTACTGCATTATCAAAGTAGTGATATGTTTAAATAGTTGTTGTGCAGGCGCGAGTCAACTAACCGAGTTGAGGTCAAACACAGGCGAGCTCATCTATAAAATAGGAAGTGGACGAAACTGAATCCCC